GACAGATGAACTCAAGGATGTTGCTTGGTTTGAAAAAATTACCCCGACGCACACGGATGCTCATGGATGAGCTGAAATTTTAATCGTTAACGCACACGCGGAGGTAAAATATTCCCATCAGAACATCAGAGCTCTTTATACTGGACACTGTGTTCAGCGCGGCTCGGAGCGCCCCCGGTGGACAGTGAGCTGAAGATCTGAGGTTCCAGCGCAGTGCAGAACCACGCGCATGCGATGATTTCCTCCCACTGAAGCGTTCTGGAAACCCGGTCTCTCTGAGGGATGTGTCACTTGGAAAATGTTCTTTTTATGAAATTATGAAACTTTGGCTGAACAGCGCTTGTTCCCGTCTAGTTCCGCATGAAGCGTAGAGACATTTGATCACGCACAAAGTTTATGTGGAGCAGAAGCGGTCGGGCCACGGCAGATGAAACGTTCCTAGCCTACATGAAGTGAAACTGTTTAATTGTAACATTAATGTGTTACTGGACACGCTGGTCTGGGTGGTTAGACCAGTGTTTGAAGTGGAAAACACACACACACACACACCAATTAAAATATAAAATAATGCTGATAGCGTGGACTAGAAGACAGGTGATGGTTTACGTATTTAAATGATGATCAGGCTGCTGTAAAATGTAATCTCCATCCACATCCAGACACAATTATCCTCTATTCTTTCTCTAGTTGCTCTGCTCTTGTCTGGGCTGATCAGCTGATGGTGCGAGCGCGCCTAACTAGCGGCTGATGCACATTTTACGCATTTGGAGAGGTAGACTGGATGCTGTGCGTTTACTGGAAGATGGTCCACTTAACGCACGGGTGTAGACTACATATTAATGACAAATGAATGAAAATTAAATTGTGAGTTTTTACTTCATATTTTAGTAATAAAAATGACGGGGGAACACATTTATGACATCTTTTTAAACGAAATTTTCTAGCGCGACCTGCCTGCTTCACTTAAGTCACTGCTTATTAAGGTCCGTCCAAAATTACCGTGGGAAACGAGTAATAATGGTTCTTTGATGGGAACAGGGTGCCGACCCCTGGATAAGATCTGAGCTGGTAAAACAAAAATCCTCATCAGCAGGCGTTTTTGAAAGTGGGGGGGACACAGCTGCCAATCACAAATTTTGCCGGGGACAAGTCCCCGGCGTCCCCGGTTAAACTGACGCCTATGCTTATTTTATAAGTCTCTCTGCTTGAGTTGTTGGATCCAGTGTGAGGGATGGGCTGCAAACCATCATTTGTTGTCATGTTGTCAGTGAGTGATGCTTGAGGTATAGCTCTGTCAACCTCACCATTTTTCCGCATGTAGTTTTGAAGAACACAGGTGGCCTTCACAATACGGTCGGCTTTCTTTGGGCAGATACCCAGAACACATCGATACACACGCCACTGTGTAGAAAGGATGCCAAATGCATTTTCTACTATTCTTCTGGCACGAGACAGGCGGTAGTTGTAGCATCTGTTGTTTCTCTCTAGATTTTTACCTGGATATGGTCTCATAATGTGGCGTTGAAGGGGGAATGCTTCATCTGCCACCAGTACGTGTGGCATTGGACCCAGGTGCTCTGAGCCTTGTAGTGTGGTGTCTTCAGGTATGCTCAGTGTCCCAGCCTTTAAGTGTTTCCCCAGGGGAGACTCTGACAGTATGCCCCCATCACTGTTTCTCCCATAACCACCCGCATCAATAACTCTAAACATATAATGAGCATCTACCACAGCTAGAAGGACAATAGAGTGGCTGCCTTTGTAGTTGTAATATTTAGAGCCAGAAGATGGAGGCGCTTGCAACACAACATGCTTTCCATCAAGAGCACCTATACAGTTTGGAAAGTTCCATCTTTCTCTGAAACCCTCTTCAATGGCGTTCCAATCTTCCATTGTTGGCTCTGGCTTGTATTCAGGCTGCAGCACATCCCAAATGGCTTTTGAGACAAACTGTTGAGTGCCCCACATGGTAGTTGAAACCAACAGTGGAGGAGTCCCCTGTTGCAAGAAATCTGAAAAAGGAAAAATGACATTAGTGTTTGTTAAATGGTTATTAAAATTTTTTGTATTAGTAACATTATATCAGACTTTTACTTCAATTTTAAAGTAAAATACAGTGATCCCTCGCTACTTCACGGTTCGTTTATCGCGGATTCACGACTTCGCAGATTTTTCCTTTGGAGCCTTATTCAAGGGAAATTCGCCGATAAGCGGCATTTTTCTATGCGAAATATCAAGAAATTCCTGTTTTTTTTCCATCAATTTCATCATAAAATGCACTTTTTGTAATAAAACTATTAAAAAAACAAGTAATTTTTCTTGAGTTTTACCCACAAAAAGAGAATGTGATCATACGATAATTCAATATAGTACTGTACTGTAAATTTGGTGTCCCTACTTCGCGGATTTTCACCTATCGCGGCCAGGTCTGGAACGCATCTACCGCGATAAACGAGGGATCACTGTATTGATAAGATTATGCATTTTTATTCTGGTTTTGCAGGTGAGGAGGCCAAAAAGCGGTGGAAATATCTAAGAGACACATACATGCGAGTCCGCAAATCTCTGAAAGAAAAAGAGTGGTTCAGCTGCTGGCGGGCAGAAGACTTGGAAGTACTATCAGATCATGTCCTTCCTGGAGCCACTCCTCAAAGAACGAGTCACAAGTGGAAACCTAACAGCAGATGACCTCCAGCAAGAAGAGGAGATCATATTGACCCTGGAACCAGCACCAGAGGACGAAGATTGCTCTAGTGTTTTTTCAAACAACCCTGATATGGTCAGTGACACCAGTAGTCCATCCTCACTTGACCAGTCATTCCAGCAACCATCTTCAATTCAACAAAACACACCAGTCAGCTCATGGAAAACGAAAGCGGCCTGCTGACAGATTAGAAGCAACCATCCTCAACAGGTTCGACAACATTCAAGCCCAGCTGAAGCAGGGTGATGAGGATGAACTGTACCTTCAGAGCCTTTTGCCAATATTCAGGCGTCTGACAGGAGCTAGAAAATCTGTGGCCAAGGTGGAGATCATGAAAGTGCTCCACAAAATTTGAATTTGGAGAGGAGTGACATTTCTACAAGTTTATTTTTTTGTAGTTCACCTGTTCTACACACAGCATAGTCTGTGTATATTTGTTCTTTAATACAGACCCAGAGGGCAGTCAATTGTTATTTAATTTTAATTTAATATATTGCAGCAAAGCACATTTTAGGCACTGCAGATTATATACTATAATTTTCTTTGTTGTAGCCTACCTCGTTTCGTTCAAGTCGAGTGCTGTGAGTTTTAATAAAAACTTTTCTACTTTCTATATGTTGTGATACATTATGAACATTACAAATGACTACTTTACACAGTGTCATGGTACACTCACCTAAAGGATTATTTGGAACACCATACTAATATTGAACAGATGTTCCTAATAATCCTTTAGGTGAGTGTACATGAAAATATAATTATTGTTTATCATATTAACTTACCTTAGACAGATAGCAAGTCGTTCTTCTGGGCTTATTGGTTCTCTCATGTTTGTGTGAATCTTCTCTATCTTTGGGGTTACTAGGGTGAGAAGATGGGCAAATAGCTCTGGGCTGAGGCGAAAGTAGGTCCAGAATTTATCAGGGTCGTCCTTGAGGTCCCTCATTAAATGATGGTATTCTCCGTTTCTTTCTCTGGTTTTTAATATGGGATGAACCCATTCTCGGGTTTTTTTTTTAATATAGTAAAATCAAAAGGGAGATTTCACACAGCTCTAGCAGCACCTTGTGAAACATCACATCTACCGCTTTTTTACTCTGAACCGCTTAAATAACCTTAATTCCCTCCAACCTGAAACAGCCAATCAAAACAACGGAAGAATCGATTTCGCCATGGAACACGCGTCGACGGCTTTGCCGCTGCCGCGGGTCGCCTCCTGTGTGTCAGGTAATAAAAGCGACAGCGACAAATTTCACTGTTCGCGGTCATTTGTCGCCTCCCGTGTGTCGAGCCCATAAATCCAGGCGTCTCCAACCTTTTTGGGCTCATGAGCTACTTAATGAAAGTACAGAAGAGCTGCCGCCATACGATGTGTTCAAGTCCATGTGTGAATGTGCTTATGTTAGTTGATTTCTCTGTATTTCAATACATCAATATTATAAAAAAGTACAAGGAAGATGGCGAGATTCTTAAAATCAATCTAAACAAAATATTTTGTTTATTAACTAATCAGATACTTTCAGATAGTGAATAACAAATCTACTTTCTGTGAACGATTAACCTGTCAACAATAAATGCTTTGCTGCATTTATTGTTGACAACATTAAAGCAGGGTTGGAGGTTTAACCTTTTTCTCTGCCTCTGGATCAGCGGGTCTGACGGATGAGCAACACAGAGCAGAGAGAGAGATTTAAAAATCGTGTTTTATTCCTAAACGGGACAATCAGCTGAAACTGTTGAGGGAAATTTGTTGAAACTAAATCACAGGAGATGTCCAGCCTGTTAATTGTGTTATTAAGCGAAGGGCATTTAATTTGCTTTAAGGACATATTTACGCACAGAGGACTTAACAGTTGCCCACAATATTTTATTGAGGATGTTTTTTCTGAAACCAGGTCTGTGTGACCGACGTCACCTCGTCTTTAGAAGCACCTGCAGCTGCAGCCGCTGATATCAGAAACGAGGATCCGCGCTGCAATTCCACATATTTCCAGTAGGACACATTTGCTGAAAGATTTGTGCAATAATCAGATTTTATTTTACTTCCACAAAATGCTAATTTTACATGAGATATTACGAGAACTGGGGAAGGCATGCCATCAAATTAGAAATCCGTCCCTTGTTAATTACAAGTCAGGCTGGGCAGCTCACTGGCTGCTTCCAGGCCAGCGACTTTCAAGAGTTACCGGTAACCTGCAACCAACATGTTGGAGACCCCTGCAATAACACAACTCTCATATGTGTGAATTTAAAGTTACAGCAGTCGGTAATTCACGTTATGTGTTTCTGTTTCCTACAGATGTTCAACAGATGGTGCAGGTTAAAGAAGATCCTGAAGAACAGAGTGCTGGTGTGTACCAGCAGGACCCAGAACACCTCCACATAAAGGAGGAAAAGGAGGAACTCTGGACCAGTCTTAAGGGAGAACATCTCTGTTTGAAGGAGGAGACCGATTCTGCCTGGTTTCAGTTCAGTGCTGTTTCTATAAAGAGTGAGGGTGATGAAGAGAAACCTCTGGTTTCACAGCTTCATCAGCAGCAAATAGAAGACAAAGATGTTCCAACCAGCAGCTCATCTGACCAGATGACAGCAGAAACTGGTGGAGGAGCAGGAACTAGCAGGAACCCAGATCTGAACCCTCATGAACAAACATCTGATTCTTCAGAGACTGAAGTTAGTGGAGATGATTATATGAATCCAGACTCTGGGATGTCAGACTCTGGGTCTGAAACTGGAGATGAAGGCCATGACTGGAATGAGAAAAGGTCTTCTGAGTCAGATGTTAAGACAGTCAACATATCTTTTAGCTGTCTTGAGTGCGGTGAACGATTTCATGACAAGCAGTCTCTCCAGAAACACATGAGAGTAACCAGTCATTCAGCAATCAGGTCTTCCAGCTCTTTGGTCAATAAAAAATCTGTTGGACTTAAGCAACCTGTAGACTCATATAGGGAAGTCCAGAAAGAACTAAAATCATTTAGTTGTGGTGACTGTGGAAAAATATTTCGTACAAAATCAAGTTTTAACAGACACCAGAGAGTCCACACAGGACAGAAACCTTTTGCCTGTGAGCTCTGTGGAAAAAGATTTACCCGTAAGTCAAATTTCAACCGTCACGTGAGAGTCCACACAGGAAAGAAACCTTTTGCCTGTGAGCTCTGTGGAAATCGATTTACCGAAAAGTCGACTTTAAACAATCACATGAGAGTCCACACAGGACATAAACCTTTTGCCTGTGAGCTCTGTGGAAATCGATTTATCGTAAAGTCGACTTTAAACAATCACATGAGAGTCCACACAGGACATAAACCTTTTGCCTGTGAGCTCTGTGGAAATCGATTTATCGAAAAGTCGACTTTAAACTATCACATGAGAGTCCACACAGGACATAAACCTTTTGCCTGTGAGCTCTGTAGAAAAAGATTTACCAAAAAGTCAGGTTTAAACAGACACATGAGAATCCACACAGAAGAAAAACTGTTTGCTTGCGAGCTCTGTGGAAATCGATTTACCCAAAAGTCAGCATTAAACGATCACATGAGAGTCCACACAGGACAGAAACCTTTTACCTGTGAGCTCTGTGGAAAAAGATTTACCCAAAAGTCAACTTTAAACAATCACATGAGAGTCCACACAGGACATAAACCTTTTGCCTGTGGGCTCTGTGGAAAAAGATTTACCCGTAAGTCAAATATAAACAGTCACATGAAAATCCACACAGAAGAAAAACAGTTTGCTTGCAAGCTCTGTGGAAATCGATTTACCAAAAAGTCAAGTTTAAACAATCACATGAGAGTCCACACAGGATTGAAACCATCTGGTTGTGAGCTCCGTGGACAAATTTAAAGTGACGGTGTGTACTTTCCCTGGCAATAGGGGGCAGTACAAACCTAAATGATTGCAAGCAAGCAGTATTTTTGTGTTCAAGTAACCCCTGCTTTCTACCGGAGCCGTCAGCAGCACGTCATAGCTGCTGATAGGAACCGCTGTGGTCAACAGAACCTTTTCCACTGGAGCCGTCAGCAGCGCGAGTCGGCCGCGTCTCAGGAGCAGCATGTCGCGGCCTTTACACGCTGGTTCTATTTTCTACGCGCGACGCCTCTGAAACGGGTCAAGTTCGACATTTTTGGGGAAGGAAAGACAGGAAATCGGACGCGGAAATGGAGAGAAGCTCCCGAGATTTTCGGAATAAAGAAACGTACTGCCTTCCGGCTGCTTTACTTTTAAGAAAAGTTACTAAATGTGCGGCCCCGTGAGAAGTAAGTTATCACCTAGCTAGGGGTCTCCTTTGTTTTTCAGGTCCGTATTGGCGATTATAAAACGGACAGAACATAAAACACAAACCTTTTGGAGCCATGTTGTAGTTTTCTCCTGCTTGTTGTTGTGTTTACTGACGAAGTCACTCGTGTGACTTCGTGCTCGGTCGGTGACAGCTGCTCCCCTGCTGCTTCGCGTCTCGTGGGAAGGGCCAAGCAGCAGCTTACGTGAGCAAGACGTGCTGCTGCAGTAACGTGCTGCTGACGGCTCCTGTGGAAACCCGGGGTAAGACTTTACCAATGTAAAGTGAAGGCTATTAGGATCAAAAACATCTGCACTTTTCAAACATGTACTTTGTCAGATCTCTGCTGCAGGGGTGGGGGTTGGTTGTTTGTGCTCCCGACTGACCCATGTTCAGTTGTGTCAAGTATTTTAGACTTCTATGTTTTTACACTGCTTTTAACTCATTCACTGCCAGCCGTTTCCTTGTCAGAAAAGCCCTTTGCTGCCAGCATTTTTCAGCATTTTCACTGTATTTTAAGAGTCACAGATTGTTGCGCGCTAGGACGATGCAAATGCCAAAAATAGCAAAACAAAGAGTAGACTCACCTCTAAAATCTGGAAGAATCCGCGTGTTTCAAGCGTTATCCGTTTTTTAATAACCCATTGTTGAATTGTTATCAGCAGAAGCTTTTCCGGTTTGAGCCTAACTTTTTTTACAGCGACGGCCCAAAACGATCTGCTAACACATGGATTTTCTGCTTCCTGATCACGTGATGTGTGACGTACGCAGATGAAGATTGGCTTTAGAGCTGGGATGTTTGTTCTTACAGTGCGGAGGCTCGTTCCGACACCCACATTGTAAAAAAATTGGTAGTTCATGAGTTAAGTGTTATGGTGGTAGGGTTAGGGTCAGGGTTGAGGGGTTTACAGACAGAGTGACTTCTTACTAGGCTTCCAGCAACAAAATGGGGTTTAATATAACATTTAGTTGACTTAAAGGTGCACCTAAAAGCACAACTTCTCTTCTTTTGATAAAAGCAATGTTTGGGATCCTTAGCACAAAAATGTCTTTTAGCAAAAGGTGTATCTAAAATTATATAATATTTTATAAGTCTCTTTTTTTATATACACAGATTCCATCCTTTGCTTCAGTTTTCACCAAACACAATACAATATAGATCCATTGCATATTATTGTTTACATCCAGGTAACTGAGCACATCCACACTAGCTGGAGGGCTAGAACCCCATCTCCAGCCGTTACCCAGAGCTGTATCTCCATGATTTAAGTTAACAAAATAAAACCTAGGCATTCAGATATGACTACTTTAGATTATTTAACACATCTTGGTGTAGATGAACAAAAAATAAACATCTCTAAGCTAATGATGTTTAGCACAAAACTTCCAGATGAGTTTGAAATAGCTAGCTAGCTAGACGACAGTCCTCAGAACTCTGTCTGGAGTTCTCACCGCTGAACCGAAGGAGTGTAAGGAGCATAATTATATAATAAAAGTCCTTAGATGGTGGCTATAATTTGTTGGTTTCTGGAAATGTGAGGCGGATATTTTTACACGTAGTCCTCAGTGTTTTATATCTAATTCTATTGTTCATTTTTGTTTTGTCCTTTATTGCTGTAAAGCATACTGAGTTGCCTTTGTTTGGCAAATGTGCTATATAAATAAAGCTGTCTTGTCTAGTCAAGTCTCAGTTTTTCACAGATTCCATCCTAAGCTTCAATCCTAACCAAGATGATAAAATATGTAAGTTTTTAAGATTTAAGTCACCAGGTTTGGTTAAAAAGATCTACAACAAAAAGAAAAAACGTTAAAATTTAACTCACTTTTTGTAAGTTATGTCCAGAGAACTTGTTTTCAGGGTGAATTGTCGGGACTTCAGAAAGTGCCGAATCCTAAGCTTCTGTCTTAACAAAGATAAGAAAGTGTGAGTGTTTTTGAGATTTAATCTGTGTCTCTTGATTCTGCCAAACTTGTTAGATGAGAAGGAAGCCAGACAAAATGAAGATCAAAGCAGTTTTAATTATCAAATATAAAAAGTAGTACATGAATAATGTTCCCCACAGGTAGGGTGTCAAACTCCTCTCATGACCACATGTCACTGTTTGCCATAAATTACAAGATTCTGAAAAAATATGGCCGTTTTTATGCAATTTTCACCAAGCAAAAACTGATTAAGTATGTTAGCATGTCCCTGAGTGAGCTCTGTGAATTTCGTTTCTGTTTCTGTTTGTTTAGGTGGTTCTAAGGTATTTGACAGCCAAACTGCCAATAGGCTGCAGAATGAGGCCTGAGCTAAATTTAGCATTGTATCACGGCTTCTGCCCATAGTTTATGTTTATGTTTATTTATTTAGCAGACGCTTCTATCCAAAGTGACTTATAATTTATAACCTATAGGGCATGTTGTGATCTGTGGGGGAAATCGGAGTACCCGGAGGAAACCCACACATGCATGGGGAGAACATGCAACTCCACGCAGAAAGGCCGAGCCGAGTTTCGAACCTGCAACCTTCGTGCTGTGAGGCAACAGTGCTAACCACTGCGCCACCATGCAGCCAGTGGTTGAATTGTATAGACTCAAAAAATTTACAGCTGCACACCGTCTATGACTGCTTCATCATACGTCAAATTCATGCAGACTGAAGCCTGCTAAGGGTTAGCTCATGACCACATGTCACTGTTTGGTGCAAAATACAAGATTCTCATCAAATATGGCCTTTTTCAGCAGTTTTCACCAAACAAAAATGTATTCTGTACTGTAGTGTCCATGTGAGTAGGTGGTGTCAGTTTGGTTGATGTAGTTCCACGTTATGGTGTTCTAATGACCCGTTTTGCATTTGTTTTGGGCTTTGTTTTTTTTTTTTTTACCAGAATTCACCAAATTTACTTAACCCTCCCACTGTCCTAATGGGTGTGACCCCATGAGGAAAGTTGACCATTGAGCAGGGTTGATGGTTTATCCCTTGGGTCCATGTGGCAGGGGTTAGGAGTGAGCACCACCTCACCCCTGCCACGTGGACCCCAAGGGATAAACCATTAATCCTGCTCATTGGTCAACTTTCCTCACGGGGTCACCCATAAAGACAGTGGGAGGGTTAACAGAAGGTCATATGGTCATGATTTTCGCAGGGTGAGTTGCTGGGGTGATGTCTCGTAATTTAAGTTAGTTCAATGTTCAAATGCCACTACAGTACTTTTAAAACAAAAAAATTGCCTTTGATGAGATTGTTGTGATTGATCTCGTCTAAGTTGGTGTTAATTTCAAGAGCACCTGGCTGCAGACCTCCACTGTCAGGCTGCTTCCGGTGGAGGCTCCACTGTCAGGACGGGAAATGCACGGGATACATTACAAAATAAAATGGCAAACATACTTACGTTTGTAATTGATAGGTTTCAATATAAAATATTACGTAAAATCTATCAATTATTTCTCTATAGTTCATATGTAGTTGTCATTTAACATGCTTACGGTTGTAATTTTTCTAAATGAATTAACGAATGGCCGGGATAGGTTTCAACATAAAACGCTAACATACTTCCGGTCGTCATATTTCTAAATAAAATCCCGAATGCTGTATCGGTTGAATCGCTCTCCTCACAAACACATTTTTTTTTTTATATTACATAAAATCGATCAATTATTTCTCTATAGTTCATATATAGTTGTCATTTATTTAGTAAACCTTAGTTTAGTTTGTCATTTTTTTTGTGCGTTTTCCTTTACTGTTGCACAACGTGGTCCTTATAATATATTCTGTCATAAAGTGAGACATAATATTAAGGAGGGAATGTTAGGAAGCTGTTGCCACAACTTTCACACCACACCAAGGTTTGTGTTCACTCGTCATGCACATGAATAGTTTCTCCCAACAGGACAACTGACACCAAGTTCTGCTGTATCAGATGGAACATTCAGGAGTCTGAAGCATTCATTTAGCAGCTGTGTGAAGCTGAACTTGTTTTACTTCCCCAGACTTCAGAGCTAGCTGATGTTCAGACTCTGGTGCCGAGACAGCTTCTGATTCTCCTCGGTGACGAGACAACACACTTCTACAGATCAGCCTTTGGAAGTTCCTCCTTACCTTCTTAGATGGTACCTGAAGGCATCATGATGACATCACTGTGAGCTTGTTATTATTCACGTGAACATAGCATTCCACTGAAACATGATCAATGAGCCCGACAGATTGTAAAACACAAGACAGCATGTTGGCTTTCAGCTCATGATGCTCTGGTCTGAAGGATGTTTCTAATTCACTGTGTAGCATCCAGAAATGGTCAGTTTTTCATCTACAGTTTGACCTCTTTAGAATCTGGTCATATGAAGACATGAATCTACATCTAGTGCCTTTAATCTGCTGGACTCTGCTATTCTATCAGCTTGAGTCCAAGTCCTCTGCAGCTTTGAACAAAGTGTTCCCGTTTCAAGGCCTTAAGCTTCCCTCTTATGGCTTCTAAAGGATTCCTCCTGCCTCTGAATAAAACATTTCAGCTCATTTAAGTTAACTAATCATATAATGAAATGGACCATGTGCTTAAATTAATAAGGTTGATTCATCTGTGCCTAAGTTAATAAGGTTGAAATGACTATTGTCCTGCAATGATCCATTTGACTGATAATCAGTCTACGTGACGAGCTAATCAGCCATACACTCATACACAAGGTTAAAGTAATTTCATGGCACATGGATATTTTCTAATCCACAAATCAGAGCATCCTGTATCTGGGAAAGGTGTGGTTCTGAGGTTTGTTGTTAACTCCTCTTTATATGTTGTCATGGATTTTATCAATAAGTTTATCTATAACCCATTTCCTGTAGTCGGAGAGAGAAGGAGACAATGATCAGACAAGTCAAACAGTTATAACTGTGACATAATGCACGAGGCAAAATGCCCCGAACATCTGGTCACAGTTTATTTATACCAAGAGATAAGAAAGGAATGAAAGTGAGTGTGTGTGTTTGTGGGAAGTCAAGAATGTGTGTGTGTGTGTCTGAATAAGTGGGCATGCAAAGAGGCATAGAGCAATGCATATTACATTCAGCTGATTGAGTCAATGATTAAGAATTAATAAACTTAAAATTCCCATAACATTCCCTCCTGTTTATCCGAAAAGGATAACCAAACAAAAGGAAGCAACAAAACAAAACCAAATAAGTAAAATAAGAAATTTTATCCACTTCCATAACATTCCCTCAAAGTCCTGAATTGTGGCAGTGTGAGCATCCTGTCAGTGTCCCGATTGATCATGCGCCCTGGCTACTTGGCCAAGGGGATGTCCCTTTGGCTGACTGGTTAGCGTGCATGACTCTCACCCGGGATTGTTGACGCGTCCTGAGCACGGCCACAGTAACATTATCAAATCAGGTGTCGCCACCTCAAAAACTAATTTAACACGCGATCGTTCATGTCGGCTCATTTCATTTTATGTTTTCTGTCTTTTATTTGTGCCTGATGCGTTTTGCTGCTGTGGAGCGTGGCACATCACCTTGTCCTCCGGTAACGCACCGATCACTGATGCGGCCGCCAAGCAGCGCGCACTCCGCTGTTTTTGCGGTCGGTAGATCTTTTAGAACTGCAGTTCAAAGGTAACTCATAAGGTGAATATATATGAACCCAGGTAGCAGTTTCTCTTTAGGATTGAGAGGAGATGCAGGAAGATAATAAACAGGCAGGACAGAAAAATAGTCAAATAAAAACAAGTTAGTTTTTGTACCTGCTGTTGCAACAAACAGACACCATTGAAGGTAATCAGAAGTGAGGAACAGAAAATGAAATAATTATTTTAATGTTTAGAGCAGCAGGAACTCCGAGAGGCTGCTGTTGCATCAGTGAGTTTGCGGCCGCTGCGCAGGGGGAGGGGGGGGGGGGGGGCTGAAGCAGAAACTACCGTTGTTAAAAGAAATGTGTTTAACTTTGAAAATGTGGGCGCAATTTTAATTGTCAAAAACTCCAGCGAACCATTAGTTCATTTTGCTCAAATAGAAATAGAGGCCTGCCTCTAATTCTGGTCTTCCTTCCAATAAAGGCCTGGAGCTTGATGAGCTTGAGTCAAATACAGGCCCGGGCCTGTATTAGAGGATTTACGGTATATCAAGTAAATAATTTGGTAACGCTTCCTTTTACAGTCCTCTAATTACTTAGTACTTTTATGGTAATTACATAAAGTGTATTATTGTTTCCGAGTTCTTAAACTGTAATTACCATGTAACTCAGGTTCAATTCTAGTTTTACTTTTTATTAATCATTCCCAGTATATACTGCGTTACATAATAACTACACTTCATTACAATCATTCACTTTAATTACACAATAATACACTTTAACTTATTATGTAATTACCATGTAAGTACTTAGTAATTAAGGACTGTAAAAGGAAGCATTACCAAATTATTTATTTTAAAATATAGAACAAAGATAAAACAGCACAGAATAGGTAAACATATAAAATACATATAGAATAAATTTAACACAGTACAGATAAAGAACAAAACTACATTCCACTATAATTGACTATGGTACTCTTCTATGATGCAGAATCGTTCATGCCCGCATCTCGATGCATTGATTCTTTGATTATTTTCCTCAGCTCTATCTATCCTACACCTTCCGGAAGGCCGTCGGGGGTGGGGGGGGGGGGGGGGTGCGCGCGAGGGTTGGGGGCCACAAAGAGAGGGTCCGGCCCACGGGCCAAAATTTGCGGATCACTGACCTACAAGATGCAGAAAAAAGGATAAACCTCAAACC